TTTTATAGTAAATTTTCCTTCTATCGCAAACTAGTGAAGGCTACAATCAAGTCTGACAGACATGTTTGGTTGAAGTCAATTGACGACAATTTAAAGTCGCAACCCAAGCAATTTTGGAAATACGTGGCGTCTCGTAGAAAAAGAAATTCCACTTGTATTCAGCTTGAGGTTAACGGCGCTCATTTGGCTGAACCCCATTTGGTTGCCGATGTATTTGCTAAGCATTTTCAGTCGGTCTATAGTACCTCCTATTTAGGCGTATCCCCTTCCCCTGTGGAGTCCTCTGACTTCTTGTCTTTAGCCCCTATCTCGGAATTGGACATTTGTAAAGCAATTCGTCGTCTGAGCCCTTCCAAATCTGTCGGACTTGATGACATTCCTAGCTTTGTTATAAAGGGTTGTTCGGAAATCTTTGTTCCTGTTCTCAAGCACATCTTTAATCTAAGTTTAGCACAGAATTATTTCCCTATTTTATGGAAACAGGCAGCAGTAGTTCCTGTTTTTAAAAAAGGTAACTCAGTCGCAACCCAAGCAATTTTGGAAATACGTGGCGTCACGTAGAAAAAGAAATTCCACCTGTATTCAGCTTGAGGTTAACGGCACTCATTTGGCTGAACCCCATTCTGTTGCCGATGCATTTGCTAAGCATTTTCAGTCGGTCTACAGTACCTCTTTAGGCGTATCCCCTTCCCCTGTGGAGTCCTCTGACTTCTTGTCTTTAGCCCCTATCTACGAATTGGACATTTGGAAAGCAATTCGTCGTCTGAGACCTTCCAAATCTATCGGACTTGATGACATTCCTAGCTTTGTTATAAAGGGTTGTTCGGAAATCTTTGTTCCTGTTCTCAAGCACATCTTCAATATAAGTTTAACGCAGAATTATTTCCCTATTTTATGGAAACAAGCAGCAGTAGTTCCTGTTTTTAAAAAAGGTAACTCTGCCACTGTTAGTAACTACCGACCCATTTCTATACTTAATACTTTTTCCAAATTATTTGAACTTGTTATTTATGATCATATCTCACATTACATAAAGTCGAAATTAAATCCTTGTCAGCATGGTTTTACTAAATCTAAATCTACAGTTACTAATCTCGTAACTTATCTTGATTTTATTAACCCAATAGTTGGCTCCCAGGGTCAAGCTGATGCTGTTTATTTTGATCTTAGCAGTGCATTTGATCTTGTCCCTCACAATCTATTACTCAACAAGCTCAGTGCTTTTGGACTCTCTGATGGTTATGTACACTGGTTTCGTAGTTACTTAACCAACAGACAATCCCAGGTTCGCGTTTCTGGAACTCTTTCGTCTCCTTTTGTAGTCCTCTCTGGAGTTCCACAGGGATCTGTGTTGGGTCCTCTACTTTTCAATTTGTTTATTGATGATATATGCCAAGTAATTAATCATTCTAAATGCCTTCTTTTCGCTGATGATATCAAAATTTTTCGTGCCATTAAATCTCCCAACGACTGCAATCAACTTCAAACTGACATTGACTCGGTACAAGGTTGGTGCACTGCTAACTTCATGAAACTCAATATTAGTAAAACTACAGTAATTACCTTCTCCACGAAAAACACTACTTTGATATTTGATTACAAACTTTTTCAGTCCTCCATAACACGTACCGA